CCCCACCACTCGAAACACTCGAAATTTCCAAGTTACTTGGTCTCTATTATTGCTTACTTCAAAACACCAATCATAGTTTCCTATGGATTCGACTCCGGACTTCACTGGATTATTACTACAACTTGACTGCCTACACTTGGGTGTACACATTTCGGATCAAGTCACAGGGCGCCGCCCACTTGGCCTAGGGTGTCGACCACCTTGCCTTGGGCATTGCCATCTCTGGCTCCGTCACTTCCCACTCTTCCCTCTCTCTAGACATCACCTCCATCATCCACTATACCATGCTGGAAACTCTATGTAGATGGGTCCTCCACCAGCGAGGGTGGCGGAGCCAGGCTAGTATTGATCAACCCTCATGATACTCCATTAAAGTACGTTGTCTCCCTCCACTTCTCCACATCAAACAATCAGGCTGAGTGTAAGGCCCTCATATCAGGCTTGAGACTGGTGTTGGAGATGGAGACCCTCAACCTGACAGCCTATAGCGACTCTCAGCTCATAGTCAACCAGGTGAGGGGAGATTTTGAACTAAAGGAGGAAAGGATGCAAAAGTACCTCTTGGTGGTCCAAGCCCTACTCACAAAGTTTGCCTGCTTTGAGATCCACCATGTGCCTTGATAGGAGAATGTTATGGCAGATGTCATCGCCAAGTTTGCCTCTGCCAACATACTTGTGGGCCCCGCGTTGACAGGTCACCAATTCGAGCCTAGCACCACTAAGCCAAAAGAGGACAAAGTTCACTACACATCCTCAGAGTCCAACTGGATGACTACTATCCGAGCTTACCTAGAGGAGGATGCTCTCCCAGACAGGCCAGTGGAAGCCAGAAGGTTGAGAATGAGAACGTCCAAATATGTCATCCTACAGAACACCCTCTACAAGAAAAGTTATTCTCTCTCACTACTTCATTGTCTCACCCCTGAGGAAGCAGACTATGCCATGAGTGAGATTCATAAGGGGATATGCAGAAACCACTCAAGAGAGAGCGCACTAGCCCACAAAGCAATCAGACAGGGATACTATTGACCTACCATGATCAAAGACACCTGCTACTTTGTCAAAAGATGTGATAAGTGTCAGCACTTTGCAACCATACCCAAACAGCCACCCAAAGAGCTCACCACCATCCAGAGCCCATGGCCCTTCTCATTGTGGGGAATCAACATTCTGGGTCTTCTCCCTATGAGTCAAGGCCAATGCAAGTTCATAGTTATAACCATAGACTACTTTACTAAGCGGGTAGAAGCTGAGGCTTTGGCCAGGATAACAGACCAGAAGATAAAGGACTTTATATGGACGAGTCTAGTCTGCCGCTTTGGGATACCACACCTCATTGTGAGTGACAATGCCAAGTAGTTTGACAAAAAACTCCTTAACAATTTCTATGCAGACCTCTAGATCAAACAGCCCCACTCCAGCCCTACCTATCCACAGGCAAACGGGCAAGCAGAGGTCACTGTCAGGACCATACTCCGCAATTTGAAAATCATGCTGGAGACTACAAAATGAAGATGGGTAGACGAACTCCCAGGCGTACTATGGGCCTACCGGACAACGTCAAGAAGTCCTACGAGTGAGACCCTTTTCTTTCTAGCCTATGGCACAGAGGTAGTGATACCCGTTGAAATCAGGGTACACTCCCTTAGGGTTTAACACCATGACCCTACCAGTAATGAAGAAGGCCTCCGCATCAACCTCGACTGGATGGAGGAGAGGGAGATAGCCCTGCTCAGGAATATAGAGTACAAGCGTCGCATGACCAAGTACTACAACTTGAAGGTGAAGCCTCGTGCCTTCTTACTCGGTGACCTGGTCCTCACAAAAGTCATCTTGTCTACCAAAGACTCCCGGGAAGGAAAAGTGGGACCCAAATGAGAAGGACCCTACACGATCACAAAGGTGGTAAGGCCGGGTACCTACAAAATTCAGAATTTTGAAGGAAAGGTCTTGGCCCATCTATGGAATGTAGAGCATCTAAAGAAATATTACCAGTAGCTGGGGGCAGTAAGTCATGAGTTGGTGTCCACTGCTTAGGTTATTTATTTTTTTGATCAATTTTCTGTGTTGGTCGATTTTCTTCAAATATTTACTCTAAATAATGAAATAAAATTTCTCAATATTTGCTCACAAAAGTTGTATTTCATTCAAGTCCATAAACGTTTTACAAAAAGATAGACATGGTCTGTCAACAAAATAAAAAATACAAAGGCACCACACTCCTAGTGTCACTTACTGCCTCTACTCTCATAGTCGCCCTCATCATCAGTCTCAAGGGCCTCATAAGGCTTGAAGCCAAAAAAATATAGGCAGGGAATGATGCTGAGACTATTCTCCTGAGCTCATCATAGCCGTCAACGAAGGTACCGACCCTGACCCACTCAGTGACATCCCTCTAAGTCTCTGCCCTGGTAGCTCTCTCAAGTGCTACACGAAGATCAGCCTCAAATTGAGCAGCCCTCTCATGCGCTAGCTTCAACTCCTCAGTGGCATCCTCTCGTGCCTACCACTCAAGCCCAAGCTGCTCCTTAGCAGCCTCACGCGCCTGCCTCTCCATGTCCTGGCCATTGACTGCCTCCCTTATCTTCATGGTATTATTAAATAAGCAGGGCAAGGCAGCAGTCACCTATAGGCGTCCGAAGATGAAAGTGCAAAGAAAGTCAAGAACTAAGCCAAAATATGACAAATAAAGCCAGATGCAATGTAGGGGTGCAGAACATACCAAAGCGAAGCCCTTTATAGTAGCGTTAACTACGCCCTCTGGACCTCAAGAGGCAACCTCTTGGGCTTCCGTGACAGTCATGAAATCACAAAGTCTCTCCCTTGCCAACCTCACATCCCGCAGCATAGATACTGAGGCATCACCCGAGAGGAAACAACTTGACGGACCCTCCACCCAGTGGAACACGGCGCCAAAGCCTCAACCCCCGCAGCAGTGCTAGAACCATCTCTGGGGGGGGGTGAGGAAACATTAATCAAAGAGGGAGGAGGAGCATCTCCTTGCTCTTCCTCTACGAGACCAGCTTGTCCGGTGGGCCCTAGTTGAGAAGAACTGGGGGCACTAGTCCTCGCCCTTTTAGAAGGAGGAGGAGAAGGCGCCACCCTAGAAGTGCATATCGACTCCACTATCGACCTATCAATAAGAGTACCTGTAGAATCAATGTAAGACAAAGAGCCTACAACGTTGTGTTTTCAAGAGGAACTCTTACTTGCCCAAATGAGGACGAAGCACATGCCCTCAATCCCTTCCTCCAACTGAAAGTCAGAAGCTTGGGGCATGGGGGACAAATGATGAGCCCAAATTTGACTGAGTCAAGTCCAATTTAAATAAACCAAGAAAGCCCAAAGAACAACCCAAACGAAGCTGGTTAGCCCAATTGGAGGGAGTTCAAAAAGAGGTCAAGAAGCCAATGCCCAAGAGACAAAGGGGCACTGTCCAAGGGGCCACCCAAGCCTAGGCAACACTCATAGCCTGAGCGCCGGCTAGGCCCTCCTGCTCCTCTTATTCCCCCTTCGCCCTCTTGATTTTGGCACTCCAATGCAAGTCCAGCCATACCAACTCAAAGCCCAGGCTCGGGATCAAGCTCAATCCAGCTCAAGATCCTCCTCTGACTGAATAGGAGCACAAGCGGAGAAAATATTGGGATATGCATTGTTACGGAGATCAAATCCTACCATAACTGCACTTACTAAATTATAGTGACCCCTTCACTGTCTCACTAAGCCTATATAAATATAAGCTCTTTACACAAAGAGCAACACACAAACACATCACTTAGAAACCCTTACATACCTCTCTACACACATTGCTTCTTTCACCCAAGGCATTGTAATTCACCCGGAGTACATTCTCCCCAGTAACTTTTATTCATCAATAAAGATCTCCGGCCACCGTTGCCATTCCCGAGAGTGAAGTAGGTCACTCAAACCGAACCACTATAAATCTACTTGTTTGCTCTTATTTACTCTTTTGTCATTGATTATCTATTCACTACTCATTGACTGCACCCGTTCATATACTCGACTATTAATTTTGCACAATACTAAGTCATTACTTTTCTATTTTATGCTAAAGCCGGCCTTAAGTCCCAAGAGAGTTATCTCCTGAACTGTGGTAGACCTTTGGAGAGTCGCTAGAGATTCATGAATCTGTAGGAGTGTTGGGAATTGAAAGGCTTCCAATTTGTTGAGAACGACGAAACAGAGACATAGTCCGGAACCAAAAAGTATTCAGTACATTCAGCCCTTGTAACTCGATTTGTCGAGCAGAAAACAATGAGTCATCTGCAATCTCCTGAAAAAGCAGTTACCATAAGCTGAGCATCAAACTAAGCTAAATATTTTGGTCTACCAATGTTAATAGGTATGCAGATTTTCCTATGGAAAAATGTTATGCTTACCAAATTTTTTTACCAAATCTTCAATCCCAAATGATGTGACACAATCTCCATTATTGAATATTAATAAGACCCGCTTAACTAATTATGAAAAACCATGCCACATCATTTGGTATGGAGATTTGATAAGAAAAATTGATAACCATAGCATTGCCTTTTCCTATGTCATTGGAAAAACAATTGTGACAAGAAATCCACATTTTCCAAAGCCCCTTTAACCTGGAGCGCAAGGGATCCTCGGTGAGAACCTAGATAGTATGAAGTATTTCTGAAGGATAAGGTGTTATATCATGTACAAGCTTCCTTCACTTGTCTATTTAATAGAAGGCAGTGATTCCCCCCTTCCCCTTTTTTCTCAATATACTCTTAACCATATGCAGTGATTTTTCCATTCTTTTTTCTTTTTTCTCAATATACTCCAAACTTCATCAATTTTCATGTAGGCCTTTAATTTCTTCCAAGCTTCAGGCTAGCCCAATAATTACTCGGGTGCTCTTAAGAGATCCCGATGCCTCCTTGGCGCCAAAAAACACCAACAAAACAACAGGAAAAAAAAAAAAACCAACCACAACCACAACACACAGGAAAACAGCAAACATAAAACTACCAATGGCGTATTTGCATTTGTAATCGAGTTCAAGGGCATCCAACATTTGTGTGAATAATGAGACCCCGGATTAAAATGCCCAGATTAATCATTTCCTTATGGTGATGGGAGGGAACAGAGGATATAAACAAGACAAAGAATTGACTTTAACTAAATTAGGATCCATTATTTCTACCTCCCTTTTATCTGATTCTCCATAACTCTGCTAAGCCATGAGTACGATAGAATAATCTGCTGCACCTGCAACTAGAACCATTCCCGTTTCGATACCAACTTTAAGTACAGCAGCTCCACCCTCAACACAATTTGGCTACTAAGGGCAATGCTGGACTCAAGATGGTGATCTTTTTCCAAAAACTTCCTCAATGCAATTGTCAATGTAAACAGGGAGATTCTTGTAAAAGTCTAACTGCAAGCAATCAATCTTCATTCTTCAGCCAGTCATTTTGTTTCCGTCTGTCTGGGAGGCTTGGTTTCCAGCGGCTCCAAGAAATTACCATTGCCGGCAGGAATTTCCTCTCCTACCAGTGGCCAGTCATCTTTAATACCACTTTGTTTCTGCAAAATGATGCTAGATGGCGAACCATTTTGATGACATGAATTAGGGCTGTAAGTGTCATTCTTTTGACAGTTCGCATTGCATGCCGAGACAGGTTCACTAAATTCCGCAAGGACTTTCCCATCTCGCTTAATGTATTTGCCTCGTGTGCGCTTCCCAAGAAACCCAGGAGGAAATAGTGGCTTCAATTTTGCCCGAGTGTTGCTTCCATCCAATTTCCCCGCAGAATCTTCACTACCACTAGAAGATTGCACATCCTTTCCAGACTCGACCTTCTCTGGCTTAGCTCTGGAATTAACACAATTCTCTTCATGGCGGACATCATCTGGGGTTAAAGCAGCAACAGAATTTTTATGGGGTGTTTCACCATTCTCACAGACATTCTTCTGAGTAGACACAGAGAAAGCTGTTAAAGAATCCATTTCAACACAATGCTTGGCACTATTTTTACTAGATCCATTTCCGTTCTCAGCATCCAACATACGGGAAAGTGGTTTGTGTTGCAGAATATTAGCTTCAGTAGAATATGAATCATCCAAAGAAGTAACCCCAGAGACCAGTCTATGCGCATGTTTAACAGGAGAAGCAATTTCTTTGACTGCATTACAACATCCATTCCCAACATCCTTTGAAACAGATGAGCTTGGCCCAATGTCCATTGTATCCAAATCTTCTTTTATATATTCAGGACTAATTATGGAAGTTGACTCATCTTTGCAGTTAGAAACCTTCAACACTGAACTTCCATCAGATGACAAGGAAGCAGAAACTCTAGCTGTATCAGTTACCTCTGCTGCAGAAAAGCATTCAACAGGTTGTTTTCGGAAATGCTCCCCTTCTTGAACAATTTTCACCATTCCCTGCTCCTCCTTTAAGGGTTCAGAAGGATATAAGCATGATGGCCGAGGACAAACTCTGCAAACAGGTAAACAAGGTTATCCAATTGCCAGCCACAATATCTGTCAAACGTAACATGCTATGCACAAGACAGCAGCCATGCATATGTGCTCAAACATGGACACAAAGTCCAGACATTCCATTACAGAGATTTCAACCAATCCTCATGAGGTTTTCAACTATGAACTCTGAAAACACTTACAAGGAAACATGCCATTGAAAAACAAAGCAAACAAGCTTCTTCAATCTAAAGTCCCTAACAATTCCCCATGCTTTGACACATAAAACAAGAGGTTTTGCAACCCTCTCTACCTTGTGCCTTGTAAGAAAAAGCAAATAAAAAAATGTCAATTTCTGCAAGGAGTTCCACATACAGACTTGGCAAACATACACCTTATGTCAACACTAGTACACTCTAACCTGGTTTTAAAAAAAATCCAGTTTTTTTAAATTGGAACATATCGTATGGATGTAGGGATTTCGGAATGATTTAAACCATTGAATGACTAGGCATTCTCTTCTTAAACAAAAACTTGGCCAACACTTTTTTAGGCTATACTTATTGGCTCCACATCATTGTACATCTCACAGAATTCTCAGAAAATTGACCCATTACATTATCATTTAGCTGTACGCCCACGTAACCATGAACCTTGTCAGAGACCTAAGTGCAATCCTTTTCATTGGTTCAACACTCCAAACGGGAATACAGTAAAACACCATTTCAACCAGCCAAACAGCCAGTTTTAGACTTACTGAGTAAATGCTTATGCAGGAAAACAGACAATCAGGTGGATAAAACTGGTTTGAAAAATACAAAGAATAAGGTAATCATCGAGTGGGGACACATGTAAGCCACTAAAACAATTTGGAAGATAAATACAAACCTGCTATACAAAAGCATATAAGCTCCCTGAGAAAGCACCTCGTCCAAATCAGCAAGATTAACCTGAGTAAAATTGAAAATTTAGTTAGAACAGAATGGATGTCATGTGCATCCACAACTAAAGATGTCTATAACCATCCATTTCAAAGTCATCTAATTAATGCATTTTCCACCAATGCTTCTCGTATTGCATATATACATAGCACAATGATCCTTATCCTCACTTTGCACGTAAAACACAAACTCCTCGAAACTGGTTAACAAACTGAATTTTTACTGAAGGTAAATCCATGAAGAAGTTTAGCGCAAGGGTATCATTCGCTTAAGAGCCGAATGGGACATCAGGCAGACATTTACAAAACATCGACTGTCATATAACAATTTTCTGAGGTTGTAAGACACCAAGTCTTACATTGGGCATGGGTATAATCAGAAGCCTTGACAACTATGGGAGATAAACCCAGCAATTCTTGAGGATACCAATCTATCGATATAAACACAAGCATGTGCCTTTGTCAGCTCATGATAGTATCACTGTATCATGGCTTGATTATGTCTTGACAATTATGGGAGATAAACCTACCATTCCTTGAGGATACAAGGCTGTCAATACAAACACAAATATGTGCTTTGTCAGTTCATGATAGTATAATGGAAAATGGGGCTACTCCAGATTTGAAATGTTTCAATACATCGTAAATGGACAGGAAGAAGAGGAACTGTTAGAAATAGCAAGGGACAAAAGCAAGATTTGTCAATAAGCCAGAAACATGCACACACACACACACACACACACACAGAAGAGAAAGAGAATCCTACCTTACAATCATCAATCCTGTACCAGTTCCCCCGAAAATCCTTGGTATAACAAATGTAGTGACCAAAGAATGATGCATTCAGCATGTCCACATGGACAACAACTGCATATAGCTTGTAAACATCATTACCATCTCCTGTTTCACTCATGTAGGGAGTAATATCTAAAGTCTCGGGGAAAGTCACCCTCTTATTGAGTTTCCCAAATCTCCCACTCTGCACATATGTATAAGGAATTAAACAGATACCATAAAACTATGGAAAACAATGAAGTAAAAATTCAGCTCATCAAGCATTTGATTCAAAGAAACAATCCTTCACATACATAACACCATTCATGGAGAACATCTACAACAACACAACATATAGTCCACAATTTCATCAAGCAGACATGAATGATAGAGACAGAGAGAGAAAGTAAAATACACTTTAAATCATATCAGCAAAGTTTAAAAGTTTATCAATAAACATGAAATGAATGTAGCACAAACCTGAAACCTTTTTAAGGCAATTGTAAGAACATTTGGAGCCCGTCGGATACTAAGGCGCTTCCATGCCAGGACATAGTCATTGCATCTGCAGGCATAATTAGAATTTTCACTAGGGATTCAGTGGCACGTAAATCACAAAACTGGAGCTAATATGTCAAAAGCGAAGCATACTTCATTTTGTACACATTTCATCTACCCTATTCCCAGATATTTTCCAAGCATCTACAGTCACAAGAGGCACATCAACCACAAGATCTGTGGTGACCAAATATTTCAGGAGTTTTCACAACTAATCAAACTAACTTCTTCACAATCACCATACAAAGAATCTCTGAGCAAGCATCTTTAACTACAGGTCATACTTGATTCTATTGTTCCAGGTTTGCTAATAATGTGTCAAGTGTCTAGTGGTATCAGAGGAAACACCGACTTGAAAAACTCTCGACCCACCAAAAAACAAAAGTTTGTAAGGCCATTATTATTTATGCCGAATAATTCAAATAGATTTGCAGATACTCCCACTATATCACTTGGTTAAAGATGTCAATCTGGTGCCACTATACTTTCTTCTATGTCAACATAGAAATCCTAGCTTTTCTTAACAGAAAGCAAGAAAGTATCCAAATGAAAGCAAGACAGAGCAAAGGAAAAAAGACCAGTCTTTCCAGTAGAAGTCCACACACAAATGTGTCATATTTTCAGTATGTTACCATGTAACTCGTCTGTTTCTTTCCAAAAAAATGTAACTCCAATCATGATAAATCTAAAGAACTCATTAGAAATAGATCTATATGGTGCTCTGAGATTGAGAGATTGACAATGTGCAGAAGTGACATAAAACTAAATTGCTGTAAGGCACAAATTAGAAATTTTATAGACACCAACATTTGAATTGAGAAATCTCATCCATAATGCCTGATTAAAAACTTGTGAACCATGTACACAAGGGAAAGGTCTAAGAAGCCATATAAAAAAGAAATGGCAAATACAGGATGTGCATCAAAACACACAAGAGAATGAAGTAAACACGCAAGAGAATTCAGCACTTACCTTGTATTCATGCATGTAAAATCTCTAAGTTTCTTATGAGAGTTTTATAATCCAAGGATAATATTATTGATTTTCAACTTTTAGACATTTGCGTTCCGAACAAATAAATCTCTCACCCATGCCTTACATCAAATCTTTCACTGAGGTGTAACTTTACCTCAGCAATCATTATGTCATCATCTCCCACAAGTAATATTTTATGACATCTCTACCCATAAACATAACCATCACAGCTGTTGACTTTATATCTGATCAGAAGCATGGTAGTGTAAATGTTTAATACCATTTCCTAGAGGTTTTTTTTTTTTCAAAATCAAGCAATAATTTTTTTAATTAACGCACTTGGTCCTTCATTAAATTGTTCACAAAGCCCGTTGGATGCAGACACATACATATCATTGTCCAGCAAGAAATATGATTTTTCAAACTAACTATAGTTGTTTAAGAATCAATTTGATTCAACGTCTTTGATGTAAGAATTGGCAGGGTGAATCTCATATTGTAATGTGATTTTTTCCTAACAAGATAAATCATTGAAACTAAGGTTATTATCACTCTAACAGGCCCAAATTTAGTCACTGGCAAATACATATCCTATAGTATAAAAGCCTCTGAGTGTATCTTTTTGCAACCAGCTTCATATCAAACATTTCATTGGACATGCATTTTTCCTTGAAAACTCACAACCGCTTTCAAAATTAGGATGATTCAACCAATTCCCACGCGTAATCACAATAGAATTCAATTCTTCTTTCATCACGCGTATACAAATAATTTATTGTATATAATTCCACAGCTTCCTCAAATGTTCTAGGCCCACATTGGGCTATTCCACCATACACTTCAAAATCATAATTATAATGTTTGAGAATTAAGGACGCGCCTCATTTGTTTTCTTCCACTTATATGAGCATTCTCTTAATAGTATTTGATACATGAATGAATTGGTGAACAAGACAATTACATAGGAAGATTTTCATTACAGTTATTATAGTCAATTTCAATTGAGTCAGTGTGTTGAGAGCAATGATGGTCCTAGGAGTTCCTTCTCGAGAGGAAGTAGTCATTATCAGACTTTGTTAGGAGGCAATGTCTAAAATTTGAAAGTATACATTGCTAAGGGGGCATAATGTGATTTTCAAAAACTTGGGCGGTCAACCTCAGCCACCACTTACTTACTCCATATGCATGCAAGTCCTATTTCTTCTTTCTATTACCTCATCATGTGCAGCAGTATGTGGCATGGTAGTTCGATGCCTCAAACGATTTACATTGCAGCATTCCTACCAATCTAGCAAACCACATTCACCACTCTATACCTAAGCATTTTCTTTATTGGCATTCCTAGTTATGCTTCCACAAGCTTATAACAAAGCATGGAATTTAATAAGCCGCAATTTAGAAGTCGTATGCGGCTGAGGCACAGGATGAGAGCAATGAGATCATAATAGGATTTAAGAAGAAACTGTCCAGTGTAGGCCTTCTTAGATTGGGCAATTTACTGTCAAAAATTATCCAAAAGCACCAATTTCCAGGGTGTACTTCCATAACTATGCAAAGAATGAACTCCATACGCATATAAATCCCATATATATCAGTTAACGTCTCTTTCAAGAAGTCATGCACATTATTAAAAAAAAAAAGGGAGTTCCAACCAACCGTCGGTAAATTTAACACTGTACACATACCACATATCACAATATGGAAGTGGAAAAAAAAAAAAAGAGAAAGAGGAGGAAACCCTTCAATATTGTAATGAATCTTTGTGCCACTATTTACGGCATTATGGTAGGTACCATGGTATCCAAGAACTGTACTGGAAATAGTAAAAGGATGATAATATCCTTTACCCCAAGATATAGATGGGGAGATATAAAAAGATAGGAAATAGGAAAGGCCAGAAAAACAAGAAAAGCAAATGCAAAAGTAAATATAGCACTGAGGAGCTTAAGCCTTAATCAAACAAAACTGAAGTATTTCAACCAAAAACGATTGGAAAAGTCCTGTAAGACAAGTCCATTTCTTTATATACACCATAAATTTTATAAGAGGTAGAAAAGAATGATGTCCCTCACAGAGATGAAAACTATAGAAACAGCCTAAAATTTCACATCTAACAGGCCTCAACAACACTCAAGTGTCCCAAAATTTTAAAGGTAAAGCATGAAACAGAAACACCAAACAAAAGACTGGTATAACTATCTTGTCCATCAACCTGAGCTCTACTCTCGAGCTGACTAGTCAGACGACATCAAAAGGGGTTAACGACACACGAAACAAAACCTCAATGACACTTTAGCTAGTTATGCCTTCAGATAAACCCATCAACAAAACCTAACAATCTTTACCTCTACATATCCCATACAGGGGGAAAAAACAAAATGAAACAATCAGAACATCATCTACAACCTAGTTACCTAGTCCTAAAAGTTTGAGCTCTCCTCCCATTAAATTCCAGTCTATTTCTACAGTATCAATGATGAGATTTTGGCAATTCAAATATAATGAGCAAAAGTCAAAACAGTAGGATTAACCAGCGCAAGTGGAAAATGCTGTCCAAAGGCTAGTGGCACTTAAACAAATTCCTGACTTGTAAAGTTGTAAGAGAGAATAGTGGCATCATTATATGAAAGCTACATAATTATGGTGATTATAAAAAAACAATGACACCACCGAGAAAACTCAAATGAACATAATTAAGGAAGACCAGCCAAAAGGCATAGATGGCAAGAGGTATATAAGCAAATCAGCAACCAGCATAAAAAATTATTTGAAACTAGAAAATATATTAACGACGTTTGACAAATGAACAAGACCCTCACCCATCACATTTATACATATTATCCCCATGAAGCGGCTCTCTTGCTGTGAATAGGTCTAAACATTCCTCCAAAGATGCAGCATCCCCTTGAATTTCCACAGTTAAATCCATCATATTTTCAAACTGATTTGACACATTATTGCATTTTGTGCATATCACCTGGAAAAATAATGCACATTCAGGAGACCACTCAAAGTAAAAAGATAATATAAAAAATCCATACATATGCATCCCCACACAGGACAGAGAGGACGCAATGGGATATTCAATTGATATGCATAACGGGTAAACAGAGTTCTTGTACTATTTGGCTCAGATAAAAATGCTACAAAGACATTAACCTCTGTGCATGGGGACAGCTATTCTCATACCCCACAAAAATCTGGAAAAAAAATCGTTCACCTGATAAAACTGTTTATCAGGCAAACATTTATAAATTTTTCTTTTTTGGTTTAGGCTTGATGTTTTATAAGAGAATTACAAATAAAAGAGGCTGAGAAATAATCAGGTATCTTCTTTACAATTAGCAGGTGAAAAAACCAGCCATCAGTTTTATTCTTTAGCATCAAGGAAGCATGGATACGGATGAGATGCAGGTACGATATGGGTAAACGAATATAGCAAAACTTAAAATGATAGGATACGGATACACCCAAAATACATCTACATTTGTACTACTTCTAACAACTTGATAATTATTATTTCAGGGAAATTCTTTAATGACAGCACAAAAATTAGTAATTTTGACTTGCAAGAAAGCATTGATCGTCTCACTATGGTATATCCATAAAGTGAACGTGAGTAATTAAACAATGCAAAACCAATATTCAACTAGTTGGTTTCCTTAGAAAGTCTTGAACAACATATGATAGTAGATACTACTGAAGAAGCACTTATGTGTCTTCAATTTATATCGGTTTTTCTTTTAAGTGTTGCATTATACATAAATTCGAGAGGAAAAGGCAAAGATTAAATTAAAAATTGCTTTGTGTATGTATTTTCATATCTAAAGCACATGCATTGTGAATACGCATTGGCAAAGTATCCATACATTTTATTGCTATCTGATACGTATGTTGTGTACCAAATACGCATGCTCGAGTATCCCACAAATATCATATCTGATACAATATCTAATAAGGATCCGTCGACCTTAACGAAATATTCATACTTCTTAGCTTAGAATAATATGAACTAGAAATCCACATGTCAGACCTTTTTAAAGTAAATGACTCTCATGCTAATATCACAACTTTGTCAGTTACATAGATGTGTAACTACCTACAAGGCACAACCACACAAACTAAATCAACTCTAGCATCTGTTATCATATCACTCTGGACTGGAAGCAGGAGTGGAAGAAAGCTATAGAAGTGAACATAATCACACACCTTCATTCATATAGATGAATAAATGTCCTTTTAGTAACTTTGGAGAGTCCTTAAAAACCATACTTACAAGCAGCCAAAAATGTTCCCTAGAAATCCCTCAAGAGAGAAAGGAATGTAAATCAAAAAAAAGGCACAGCTAATCAAGTGTCTCAAACGAACATACATTTCTAACTCTATATTGGACAGCCAAGGAAACCCACATAAAGAGCAAGTACTTGACGCAACTAATTAAACAAAATGCATAATCAAATACCCCAAGGGCAGAAGAGATTGAGGGCTTCCAAAGAAGCAGCCCACTAAAGCACAAAGCCTAGACATACAAGCTCAATGAATCTCAAACTGAAAAGGTAACATAAAACCACCCAACCCAAAAAGAAAATAAAAAAAAATCGAACAAATGCTTCCTTGCTAGCCTGAAAAAAGGAAACACTGGTAAACACCAAGTCCGAATTAAACAAATAATCCTTCACCAATAATAGACTGCAGCACAACTTGAATAATACTATATTCTCAAGAAGAAACTCTGCCCTTAAGGCTTTTGGAGGGTAATACAATGATATTCACCTTAATGGTTTACTGAAAGTCATATGCCTAAATAAGACCAAAATAAGGAAAAGAAGTGTCACGCATCAAAAGTTTGCCTCATGCCTGAATCATGACCTTAACAAACAGTAATGTAGGGCGGGAAGGACTAGAAATCAGAGAATAAAAAAAGAAGAAAAAAAAATAGGGGGGATAAGGAATTTACCTCATCCTCACAGGGAATCAATCAAGAAATACACAAAATTTTTCACAGAGAAACACTTTTTATTATATCACTCTTCGCAATAATAGTTGAGATTACACCATTATTTATAAGTCAAGTTCTCTACCAAAATAAAAACTACTCTCCTACTAAAATTCTAAAAAAATTGCATAATCAAACTCGCAAACTCTTATACTACTAAAACTCTATAATAATTTCCTATTAAAGGATAGAACTAGGTCCCCCCTTCTTTGTACTGACAGGTGAGTAAAGGAGAACCCTTGGGTTGTAGGAGTCAAGTCTATGTCAGGACCTCTTTCCAGGTATCCCCCTAAGTGAAGGATTAGCTTCTTGGGACTCCCTCCTACGTCGAACTTCTTCTTCATCTATTTTTCCAAGTTGGGTGTTGGGTTTAAAAGAATAGATCGTCCTTCTTTTTACTGAAAGTTGAGATATGGGGCCGCCAGGTTGATCTATTACGAAAAGAGCTCGGCTCAAATTCTCGCTATTACTCCTAGTCAAACAAATACTCATAAATCAAATAATAATAATAAAACTATCAATTATACTTCCCTTTGAACCAAAAATTCTTAGTCTTTCTACTAGGCTTCCAAAGTCGATTGTATTGGTCCAACCAACCAATGATTGCGCCATCAATTTCCCCCCGCTAAAAAGAACTCGACTCCGGCGAGTAAGGAGAAGGTCTAAGAATACAATCTGATGGAGAAGCTCCATAAATCAATAATGAACTCTTTTTCAATTGTAGTATAGGTGCATCAGTAGCATAAGTAAGAGTATACTTCTTTCTTCCAATTGCAAAAAAATAAGTATTAGCATGCCCCGCATGTTGTGCATCATGATCTCATATCCAAGTGCGGCCTAAAAGTATATGACAAAACTTGAGAGGTAACACATCACACATAACGGTCTCCTTAAAGCTCCCAACAGTGAATGTCATGGTCCCATATCCAAGTGCGCCCTAAATGTATATGACAAAACTTCAGAAGCAACACATCACACATAACGGTCTCCTTAAAGACCCCAACGGTGAATGTACCTAGACATCTCTTATCAACTTTCAACTTGGCATTAGTAATCTATGCTATATGATATGGTTCCAGATGTAGTTCAACTTTCAAATTTAATTTCCTTATGACCTCTTCTAATACCACATGTGTGCAACTTCCCATGTCAATCACTAATGAGCACATTTTTCCTTCATAACAAACTCTTGGTTGAAAGATTTTCCCTCAATGAGTAAACTCATCATTAACAACTTCTTTATTAGCAATAAGTAGAGAACGGATAACACCCACAAAATGATCATCATCCAAATCATCAAAATTAACCTCACCCACATCCAAAGGTTTTACAATCTCTGTTTCAAATTCTGGCTCATCAGAATCATTATACACCTTAGAATTTTACTTTTCAACCACAAAAAACAAATTTTGAAGGGTATTGAAAAGAGAGATGACCAAAATCAAGATAATTAAAACATCTCGTCTTATAATTAGTGCTCTCTTGAGAAGAAGAATTAGCAGTTGTCCAAGATGGTTTGTTTGGAATAAAAGTATTCTTTGGGGGTTTATTGGTGGACTTACCTTGACTTGTATCTACGACAGTTCTCTCGATCCAGGTTGGAGGTATCATAGAAGATCTCATATAAGATCTGTTTTTCAACTCATCTTCCATTTGATAGGCAACCTAAACTGCATCTGCCATAGTGTAAAGTCTACTTGCAGCTAAACCCGTAGAAATTTGTGAATTGAGACGTTGCCTGTACATGGCAATCGTCACATCCTCAATCCAGTAACTTTGATCGAGTGGCCAAATAGTAGAACTTTCTTGTGTGCTCCTCGACAGATATACTCTTTTGATTCAATTATGTAAACTGTAGATGAGCTCATTACTTATAATTAGCAGGCACAAAGTAACAAGTCATAGCAATCTTCATATCATCCTATGATCTATCAAAGTGAGTTTGTTGGTACTTTACCCACCAAAGTCTTGTTATACCCTTCAATTTTAATTCTACAAAGAAAACCTTCCTTTCATTGATCAAACGGTGTCATCTGAAGAAGGTTTCAATGTTATGCAACCAATCAAGGAATATCGCTGGATTATTGTCTCTGTGAAAATTTTCAACCTCTAATTTAACCCCTTTATCAATATCAAACAATTTTGGGTCTTCTCGAACTAGGCCTTGTGGTGAAAGGCCTTGTACAAGTACCGATGGAAGATTAAGGACATAAGATGATGGACTATTATTAGCGTTTTTCTCAACTCTTTTACCCTTCTTATCTAAGAGATAAACTTCTATGACTCCTTTAGTAATGTTATAGACGCCTCTAGTGAATCCATCCTCTCATTCATGGCCTTTTGTGAATCAACTTGTGCTTGGGATAAAGCCTCCACTATAGCATTTAATTCCACGTTGAAAACCATTTTAATGGAAGAGATTTTAGGGATTTTTAAAAATTTGGGGGTAAAATTGTAATTTCAACAAGATTTAGGGCAAAACTGAAATTTCAAAAACTTTGGGGTAAAAATTGTAATTTTAGAAAAATTTGGGGTAAAAGTGTAATTTCAGAAACTTGTGGGGTCAAAATAAAATTTTTGAAACTTTTGGGAGTGTAAGTGTAATTTATAAAACTTCTGGGGTAAAATCTATAATTTTAGGAAAGTTTGAGAGGTGTTTGTGTAATTTCAAAAGTACTGGGGGTTTGGATCCAAAATTTCTGAAATATAGGCTGGGTAGATGTGGGCTTAAGGGATGATATTTTTGGAATGGGTGGGGCTGAGTTAGGCTCCTGATGGGCTCTAGCTAGGATAGAAACTCTAAAGAAATTGGACCAAAGTTTTACCTAAATTTACCCCACCCATAAGTGTCTTCAGCAAGTCTTCTTGTCTTCCAGAAGCAGTTGCCTGATACTTTCAATATTCAACTACAACAACAGTGCCGACCAAGAGATAGAAACAGAGACAACAGTAAGTCTGGAGTCAAGGAAACAACGAACAGCGAGGTGGATAATGACGATGAACAATGACAAGCCAATATCTATGATGGTGAAGCAAGAAGATATTGGAGCAACAAAGACAAAAGATTTGGATCTAGATTTTGCACTGATACCAAATTGATATAGGATGGGAAGGACTAGAAATCAAAGAATAAAAAGAGAAAAAGAAAGAATAGGGGAGAAGGGATTTACCTCATCCTCGCAAGGAATCGGTCAAAAAACACACAAAATTCTCTACAAAAAAACACTTTTTATTATATCACTCTCTCCAATAATAGTTGGGATTACACCATTATTTATAGGTCAAGTTCCCTACCAAAATAAAAAACATTCTCCTACTAAAATTCTAAAAGAGTTTCATAATCAAACTCTCAAACTCTTATACTAATAAAACTACCAATTACACTTCTCTTTTGACCAAAATTCCTAGTCCAACCAACCAATGGCTGCACCACCAAACAGAGTGCCCTATAACAGGGACGTTAAGAGTTTTTCCTTGGTATTCTAGATTCAACTTGATTAGCAGTCCATTAATTGACCATCAGCACACTAGGATGTTTTTACCTTTTCAGCATATTGACATCAAGAATCACCCAAACAGATGTCTGGGGAATTTAGTGGCATTGGCTTTAGTAAGAAGCTACCTGAGACTGGAGGCGACCACCAAATATATGCTGAATAAGGGTCGTCTCTTGAGAGCTTGGACAAACAGCCTTTTCTCCACCGAATTCATCAAGGCACACTGATTGCATTGTATCAATAGCGAACCTGTAAAATGATCAATTTTTATCGAGTTAAATTAGTGGCTTGTCATCAACTAAACACCAAAAAACATAAAAATTGAACCAGATCTCAAGCAAGAAACAGGAACCTCATGAACTCATGGGCATCCTCCTGTTTTCCATAGCCAAGATTACCACCAATATTAGGTAAACGTGAGAGAATATTGATTGGTGAAAAAGGATGATGACTTTGGCTAGCTCTTTCAACATGGGTTTGAAATTCACACAGGAAGCACCAATCATTCCGCCTGCCTGAGGAACAACAAACAACCGATATATGATCAAGAAACTTTTCAAATATCGAGGGAAAAAGAAATCAAATATATGAACAGTTAGGATCGATGCAATTACATTCAGTCCTATGGCCTTTCTCCAACAAGTAGGCTAAAAGGGGCTGCGTATATGCAAGACATTGTAGAACCACGTTGGCAAAACAGCTGGAAAAGAGAGAGAACGAAAAACAACAATGCTGTTCAGAACTCCTAAGCATAAATAACAAGCTTTAAAAAAGTGAAGCTCTCAAGCCTGTCGAAAGCAGCCAATAAATGATACCATAGACACAGCACTAGTATTGTAAGTACAGACCTGTTTCCACAATTCAGAAGCCCACAAGGAGGGAAACCTGGCTTTTTCCAGTTAAAAAGTTCCACAAATTCCTCATAGGGAAAAAGAATCTGAAAACAGAAATAAAGAGTGATTCTGGTCAACAACCTATTGAAAAGTATATGGAAAACAATACTGGAAAGGATAGTAATGTACCTGTTTTGACGGGTTGAGCATCTTGGAGGTTCCATTGGCAGAAACCAGTGAAACCGCAGTAGAAGATTTCTTTCCAAGCAGTACAGATACAGACTGCGTTGAATTAACTTTACCAGACAATTTAAAATCCTTGCAAGTCGTCTTGTGCCCAGAATTCCAGTGGGACCTTTGGCAAGCTTCCGAGCTAAAAAATGGAAAGATGGAGAACAATATTAAAACTTGCACGAATTATAGTAGCACAAGTCTAACCAATGTTCATATGCACAAAACCAAAGCACTAAAATAAATTTCACAACACAGAGAATGGAACCTGATAAAAGAATCAAAGCATAAAAGAACTGGTATATTACAAGACGGATGGAGGTTAAAATAAGGGAAAACTAAAATAGGGAAAAGTAAAAAGCAGAAATACAAGGCAGAGATAGAAAATTGTCTCCAAGAGCGTGAAATTGACGACAAGAAATACACCAGAAATTGTATCAAAGGAAGCTGCTACTCAACAAGATTATGGAGAACAAAGAAAGAGTCCTTGTTAAAAAAAGAAGCTCTTACCAGTCCATTTGGTTAGTAGCTCAATCCCAAGCAATATTTCAACAAACATCTGATAATATTAGCAAGCAATGAAGTAACCCAAACTGAAAACAGTTATATTTGATCACTTCATTGGTTTGAGTAAATTGAAGGGGTAAAAGCTATTTTAAGATGGATTTTCTTAAAGAAATTTTTCAAATTGCAGAAGATATCTGTCAAGGTCATCTCAGAATGAGACTTTAACACCTCCACTGGAGCATCAGTGTTCTCTCATTTATTATTTGCTGAAGATAGTCTTCTTTTTGTGCAGGTAACACCAGAAAATGGGAAAGCAATAAAAGAATATCTTCACAAATATGAAGTTGCATCACAAAAGAAAATTAATATGTCCAAGTCAGTGGTGGTTTTTAGTAAAAATGTGACTGCAAATGATAAGGAAAAAGTTTTAGAAGTTCTTCAACTTCCAGTTGTTGATTGTCACGAAAAATATCTTTGTTTGCCATCAATTGTGGGAAGATCAAGAATGGAGATTTTTTATTCTATTCAACTCTGGGTTTGGGCATAGTGGAGTGAAGTTTTCTGGAAGGAATTATGTCCACTTTGGGGTTTGATGAAAAGTGGATTCATTTGATGAAGTCTTGTGTAAATACGGTATCCTATTCGGTGGTGATCAATGGGGAGCTGCTAGGGTTTTTCACACCATAGAGAGGTATTAGGCAGGGTGATCCACTAACACCATATCTTTTTCTTCTTTGTTAGGAGGGTCTATCTTCACTACTTATAAATGCTGAAAGTAATGGTTCAATATAGGGCCTAGCAACTGGTCGAGGAGCACTTGTGTTCTCTCATATATTATTTGCTGATGATAGTCTTCTTTTTGCTCGGGCAACACCACAAAATGGGGAAGTGATAAAATAATGCTTTCACAAATATGAAGTTGCATCAGGACAGAAAATTAATATGTCCAAGTCAACAGTGGTTTTTAGTAAAAATGTGACAGCAAATGATAAGAAGGAAAAAGTGTTAGAAGTTCTTCAACTTCCAGTTGTTGATTGTCACAAAGAATATCTTGGTTTGCCATCAATTGTGGGAAGATCAAGAAAGGAGATTTTTTATTCTATTTGACTCAAGGTCTGGACTAAAATTCAAGGATGGAAGGAGAAAATGCTATTTACTGCAAGAAACGAGGTTCTCATTAAGGAGGTGGTGCAAGCCATTCCAACATACGTAATGTCATATTTCAGATTGTCGTCTTTTTTATGTGCGGAAATTAATAGTATGGTTGCTAACTATTGGTAGGGACAGAAGAATGAACAAAAGAAGAATACATTGGATAGCTTAGGATAAAATGTGTGTTGCAAAATCTTGCGATGGTATGGGGTTTAGAGGACTGGGTTCTTTTAATCTAGCTATGTTGGCTAAACAATGTTGGCGGTTAGTTAAACATCCAGATTCTATGATTTACAAAGAGTCTTGCAAGCAAAATATTTTCCTTCCTCTTCTCTTATGGATGCTCAACTGGGACCTCGTCCCTCTTTAACATGGAGAAGTATCTTGGCTTCAAGGAAAGCACTGGAGGCAGGAATGTGATGGCGAACTGGTGATGGTCGAAGTGTTCGGGTGAAGAGTGATAAGTAGATTCCCAGGCCCTTTTCTTTCAAAATAACTAGTCCACTACCAGTTTGGGATGAAGATTTCTTTGTAAATTCCTTAATTGATTTTGAACATGGGTGCTGCAATACAAGCTTATTAGAGCAACATATTCTTCCTTATGATATGGAACAAATTCTGGGCATTCCTATTTGTGATCAATTTCCAAATGATCAATTGGTTTGGAACTACATTAGTTTTGGCCATTTCTCAGTTAAAAGTGCCTAGGAATAGCGAAGGGAAATAGTCTAGAAACTTCATTTGGTCTTTGAGGATCCCCAATAAAATTAAAATTTTTGTTTGGAGAGTAATCAAATATATTGTGCCTATCCAGTGCAATATTCAGCAAAGGCAAATTCCTGTTGATACTGAATTCTTACTATGTGATGCTCCAAACGAATCTATTGCTCACATCTTTCTGGAGTGTCCTGTTGCTTTGGCAGCGTGGAAAAAATCTGGTTTTATCTTCTCTTATGAGCAAGCTGTTATGTTTAAGGATTGGGTGTTAGGTTTCATCAGTCGGCTGCAATCTGACCAACAATGTTTGGTTTCTGTTCTTCTCTGGTCAATATGGTTTAAAAGGAACAGAGCACAACACGGAGTAACAATGTCTCCAGATCAAATATCTGATTTTGCTCAAACATATTTGCACCAGTTTTGGAATAGTCAGCATAATTTAAATGCACAACACTTCACAGATTCAGATGCTGGTAAGTGGGCTGCTCCTTCCACGGGTGTTTTCAAATTAAATTTTGATGGAGCAGTGTTTGAGTCGGATGGATTTTTGGATATTGGTGTTATTTTCAAGGATTAGGATGGATCTTTTGTTCAGGGTTATTCCCAAAGGATTTAAGGGCTACTTAAACCTGATCTTGTGGAGGCTCTAGCAGCAACAACAACAATTAAAATTGCAGCTGAATCAGGTTATGGTAGAATTTTTCTTGAAAGTGACTCGAGGCTTGTTACTGATGCTTTGAAAAAGGGGACTTCGGACTTATCTGAAATGAGTAAATTCATTGATCAAATTCAGTCATGTTGATGGGTTTGAAGATTACGCAATCTCTTGGATTCACAGAAATAGAAATACGGTGGCAAATTGTTTAGCCAAGTTTGCAAAAAATTGTATGAGTCCCTGTTTATAGAGAGAGCATTGTCCAAGTATTTTTAATACCTCTCATCCGGAATAATGTACTCTTTTCTGATTAACAAAAATTCTTGATCGTTTCTATCAAAAATAAAATAAAATAAAAAGCAATGTATTCAGTCAATTTTCTTCAAGCGGTCAGATTAAACTCGTAGTGAGTACAAGACCTGCTTGAATGCATCTCGATTGATTGCATCTGGTTCCTTTTACGACAAGGGCATGCATTTCATGGTCACAATGAATCAAAGAACAAGTAATCAAGAAAAATTTTCTGAGCTTTTGAGGTTTCTTGCAGATAACAATAAGGATGTCAAAGTCGTTGCATTGAAAAATGCTCCAGAAAATCTCAAGTTGTCGGCACCTAATTTGCAAAAAGACATTGTTATTGTAGCTGCGGTTGAAACCTATAATGCAATCATTTCCCATTTCGGTGAGGCTCTTTTCTCCGTTCTTATTGATGAATCTCGAGACATATCAACAAATAAACAAATGGTTGTTGGATTGTGGTATGAGTGTCTTTTAGGGTTTGAGCATATTACTAATACAAATTCTCTCTCACCTAAGGCAACACGAAGACTTATTTTCAAGATATAGGCTAAGCTTGTCTAGATTGTGTGGAGAAGGTTATAACGAAGCTAGTAATATGCTAGGTGAGTTCAATAGTCTTAACGCGCTTATATTGAAAGAGAATAAATGTGCATATTTTATTCATTGAATTGCTCGTCAATTGCAATTAGCTCTTGTTGCTGTGGCAAGGGATCATAGCCAAATTGCAACACTCTTCACTTTTATGGTAATGTGGTTAATGTTGTTGGAGCCTCGTGCAAATGACGAGATTTTTTCGAGAGAAACATATTACTAAAGTTATTGAAGCACTTAATAATGGAGAGTCTCTAAGTGGGCAAGGCTTAAATCAAAAGACTAGTCTTAAACGTTCTTGTGATACACGTTAGGGTTCCCACTATGATACTCTAATTACTTGATTAATATGTTTTCACTGGTGATTGTTGTGCTTGATATGATTTCAGATGATGGTTCAAATACAGAACAAAGAAGGAAAACAAATGTTCATTTGGACTCGGTTGCAATCTTTTGAATTTATATTCAATCTTCACTTGATGAGAAGTATATTGGGAATCACGAATGAATTGTCCAGGCATTACAAAGGAAAGATCAAGATATCGTGAATGTCTTGAAATTAGTTCAAATGTCCAAGCAACGAATCCAAATGATGAGGGAGACCAAACGGAGTTCTTTACTTGATGACATTTCTTCTTTTTTGTAGCAAACATGATATAATTGTTCCAAGCATGGCTGATACATTTCAAGTTCAAGGGCGGTCAAGGTGTAAGACTCAAGAAATGATGAACTTACATCATTATCGTGTCGAACTATTTTATAATGTTATTAACATGCAACTTCAAGAGCTAAATAATCGTTTCACTGAATCGAAAACTGATCGACTTCTTGGTGTGGCATATTTGAGTCCATCTAATTCATTCTCTACTTTTGACAAGAAGAAGTCAATTTGTCTTGTTGAATTTTATCCAAATGAATTTTTCTTCACTAGAACTCACAAGACTTTTTGATCAGCTTGGCAATTATATTGTTGATGTGCGAAGACCTCTTAGGGATTGGTGATCTTGCAAAAAAAATGGTTGACATAAAAAAAGACATGATACATCCACTAGTTTACTTGTGACTTTAACATTTATATTACCAGTTGCAAGTGCCACCATTGAGAGAGCATTTTCAACAATGAAGATTGTGAAAACTAAATTACATAATCGAATTGGTGATCAATGAATGACATATAGTTTGATTACTTATATAGAGAAAGACATTTTCGATCGCATTGATAATGAAGTTATCATGGAACGCTTTCAAGTATGAAGGTTCAACAAGTTCAATTGTAAATGGGCCTCATTTTTTTTGTAAAATTTTATAATTAACCTCTTTTTAGATATTTTTGTTTTGAATAGAATATATATATTGACTTTAATCCTTTTTATGTTTAATGAATATTTAAGTATCAAATCTGATGTAAAAATCATAAATATATCACATTATTTTTATCTATTAGAGAACAAAGTAAAACTTGTAGTTACAATGTGTCTACCCTAGATCATATTCTTGGCTCCAGCCTCCACCACTAGTAGAAGGTGAAGCACATGTCATGTATTCCTTATGCTTGTACAGTTGAAAGCATTATGCATGCAATGGTGCGCACTAATC